CTGTACTTAAGTACATATTCTAGGTTAAGAACTATATCACCACTGCTTATTTTCGGACAACTTTTTACTTTTACTTCTTACATTCTTCAACCACAAATACTGTACTTTCTAACTTCTTACATTTTCCAACAAACGACACCACGACAGGCTCGTTACTCTTAGTTTTATTCTGCCAGTTGTGGCGCTGATTCATCTATTCAATTAGAAGTCCTTGTGTGCCTAGATTGATTTGAACACGATCCGTGTATCCATCATTTCCTGGTCTTCTCTAAACAAGAGGGACCAATGAGAACTTTGTCATTTTGCCGTTGTTCAGCATCGAAATATTCATTAGCTAACAATGACATTATTGTTCTATTAATATAAAGGGAGGTCAGTTACTCTTTAAGACAGCTGGTAGTTATGGGTACTTTTTACTTAAGTACATTTCGAAGCCTATATTTCTTTACTTTTAGTTGAGTAAAGAAGTTTAGTTTATACTTCTACTTTTACCAGAGTATTTTTAAACACGAGTATCTCTACTTCTACTTGAGTAAAGGATGGGTGTACTTTTGCCCTCTCTGGTTTTTGTATCATTCATAAAGCCATACTAGAGAAGGTGCAAAAGGGACTTACATCTGAAACATGCTAGGCAGAGTGACGAAGGAGAGCAGGCGAAGGGCAGCATCAATGGTGTCTTCCCGAGAGGCGTTCAAGCCCCACGGCATGTCGCTTGTAACTCCCTTCACCACAACGTTCATATCAGGATTGGCAAAGAACAAGTGGACAGTCTCCAGGATTTCATTTGTAGAAACAGGAACAGAAATGGCTTTGAACATGGTAGGGTAGTCGATGTAGAACATGTCTATGAAGTCATCCATGGGATCCCTTGCCATCATCGATGGGGCCTCGCGTCGGTTTCGGACCCTCGTTGTATGGTTACCACCGCTCATTCCATACATACTTGGTCGGTGGTCCTTGGGGGACAGAAGACCACTGGTGCTTACCAGCTGCCTCAGCATTGCTATGATGTTTCCAGCTAGGTCTTCAAACAGCTCCATGTTTGAAGACATGTCCAAACCCAACTGGGTCAGAACAGACAGGAGAGGCCTGACTATGTCGTAGATTTTAGGCAGAACCTGAGTCAGCAGGTCAAACCCAGATGATTTAGTGGAGGCCAACCATGCAACCATGTCGAACACCTTCTGCACAATCATGCTTGATTCGTTGGATGCCAGAAACTGCTCCAAGGCTTGGTAAAGAATAGGCTCATTCCCAAATATCTGCATGTCAATGATCTGTTGGACAGCTTCCTTTATCATGTTGGTTAGAGATTCTACATTGAGCCCAGAGAAATTGCCTGACATCATGGAATTGTCCAATGTTATGTTTGCAGATGATAGGAAGATCATTGCTGCTTCTCTGAAGATGTCTTCGGATGAGTTGCTGTCTTCAAAAAAATCGTAGTTGCCCAGGATGTGGTTCAGTGCTTCCTCTAAAGCATCAGTGTAAGGCTGGATGAATGGGGCCGCGTTTACCAGCTCTTCAGAGAGCATTTTGAAAGAACTCAAACTGTAGAGGGGAACATTTCAATTAAAGTCATGTATAAAATGTCAATATGACATAAGTAAAACATTTTGATTGTAGGACACAAAGCTCTTCTATGGACAAGGACTCAGGACTAGTTCTTACATGCTTATTTTATGACATGAAAATCTTGTTTTAGTTCATTTCCTGAACACAATTATTCCATAGAAATCTATTAATATTTATTTGTCATCTTGCCTTTTACCGTACATAGTTTTACCATTTCATCTGTAATAAAAGACTGTGGAGTCTTTCCACTCTGATCAACGATCTTTATCACATGTACTTAGACTTGATGGATTCCCTGTGATATGCAGAATATGATCCTTATCACAGTGCACGGCTCATCATTTCAGCTGGCATATAAAGGAAAATCCATTTTAAGAGGATGTCTCCACTCAGCTGAATCACGGTTAAGCCACTATCAATTCCTGCCTCTTTTCAGACAGAATTGCCTGAAATGAATCAAGTTGATTACAAATGTGATCACTCCTAATTCCTTGTGTAATTTGAAATGACTCAAAGTTGCTACTGTTGCAACAAAAAAATGTGAGGAGAGTTTAGACTGTCTATCTAAACCTGTCTGTCTGTATGGGTCTGCATGGAGTCTGCATGGGTCTGCATGGGCGGGTTTTGTTATGTGGCTCCATTATATTTTGATATGATTGCATCATATCCTGTGGCTTTAGTGTGGGTGCTCTGTCTGATCCACTAAGGTCTCTGTTAGAAATACAACTGGGAACCCAAATATGCAATGATCTCAGCATTGTTGGTTTTGAGAGTCTAAATTATTTGACCTGATATCTTAAATCACTAATATTACATGGATCAGGATTAGATTCACTTTTTTTAGGATCAATTGTTTAATGGATTTTCTTGTTCAGCATTGCGTTAGCAATGTTGCAATGTCATTGTGGTTGTTATTTTGTTTACCTGTTTAGCAGCTGCACATCTTGGAGCTGCTTGTACCAGTAAAGCTCTGCCTCAGGGCTCAGAGACTGGCCTGTAAGCCCAGAGAGCTGGCTGACGATCACCATGATGAGCTGCTGTGACACAATTGAGCTGTTCATGTTGGCATGGTAGAGGGACTGTACACTCTTGACGATCCTGGCAGCTGTGGCGCTCACTGTCATTGGTCCCACACCCATGTGCTGTACAGAAAACATACAGCAGAAATGTTATGTGGCAGCTTTATCTGTGCGTCAACACTGCCACCAAGTGGTAAAACCAGTAATTGTAATAGAATATGTTTTTGATACACGAATATTTGAATATTGAATATTTCAATATGATCTGAGAAACACATTTTAATTCTAATAGCCTTCAACCAATGAGTTGTTTTTAGTATGTCCTGTTTGATTTGCCATGCAGCTACAGTACTCACACTCGTGTTCATGGGGGCGTAGACGGTCTGGGCCTCAGCATAGGCCTCCAGAACAGGCTGCAGGTGGATGTCACACCACATAGACATGGCGGAGGGGCTCAGCCCTGCCGCCTCTCTTACAGGCTCCCATGCTATGAGAACTTCACTGCACTTCAACGTGCCATTAGCCTAGAGGGAACATTTCAACACGTTATTGTGTTTCATTTGTAATGTTCCCAGAAAACTAGTTCAGTTTGAAAGGCAGGTAGAACAAAGAGCCGGTAGACAAAAGGTAGAGGCACAAGGGACTTCCCTTTATCTCTATGTTCATGCAGTTTACGCAGCAGCAAATAAAAGGGAATTAATATCACACAAACATACCAAGTAGACACACCCAGATATGTACTGTATGTACTGTATGTGCATACACAATGTATCGGAACAAACACTGGATCAGCTATAGAGTTTCTGCCATGTCAGATCTCTCTGATAGATTATATGAAGTAGCCTATAATTACACAAGACAATAATATAAAAATAACTTGTAATAGTGCTCTGCTCCCCTGTATATATTTTTTCTTATAATCCCTTATTAGGCTGTAAATGATAATGGTATTTAAGAAAAAATATGTAGGCCTATTTTCTCATCTAACTATCGGTAAGATAATGAATAAGTGTTTTGGTTTGTTAATGCCAACATTCTTACTAATACTGTTACATATGTGACCAGTACAAATAGGCAGATAGCTCGCAGATGTATGGCTCAGGCTCCAGTATGGGGAAGCATGTCTGACAAATAAATAGGTTGTTTCTGCTTGTCTGTTTTTTCGTTTTGTACATCAGAAGGACTACTATCAGTGTTGTCGGTGCAAGCATTCTTACTATTGACTCCTTGTCACTAAATGAGGAACATTCTTAACCTTTGAATGAAGCATAACTAATCTAAGGAACAAATGCCAGCCATCATCCAGTTGTCAGCTGCATCAACACGCTGAGCGCTAACAGGGCAAGACAACCCACATGTTATTTATATACCGGCATGTTGTCTTTCAAAAAGTATTAAGAATAATTCTCTTAAAATAAACAAAGAATTGCAAGGGAGAAAAGACAGATAGTTATACAAATCCAAACCCCAAGTGTGTACATCAGTTAAGTGTGTGGAAACTATTATTACATAAGGTGTAACCTCAAGATGAGAGATAGGCATAGTCAAAAGCAATAATGGATGAAAATGTATGCATTGTTACGGTAATGTATCTCTCACGTGACTCTCTCACGGAAACATGTTCACAAAAGATGCCAGCAAATGACTGTGAAGACACCAAAGCTTCTCAAGGAGAAGCAGTCTAACCTGCTCAGCTAGCTCCAGCGTGTGTTCAATGGCAGGCTGCATTCTTTGGGAGATCTCAGACAAGTTAAAATGAGTGGAGTTTGCAGACTGTGCAATTTCTCTCATCAGGGCCACCACAGGCATCTGAAGGCTTTGTATCATCACTGGGAGAAATAAAAGACAAAGGGATTGACCAACAAGGATGACTTAACAAAAAAGCTAGATAAGAATTTTTTTCCTATTTATGAAATGGTACACAAGGTACTTTTCAGGAGGTATTTCATGTATGTTTAAGGTGTGCCATTCTGCAAAAGGAATGCTTTTCAAGCCATTATCAAACCTAAAAGGTGACATCAGTTTGAATATTGTACATATTCTTACTTCATGCTGTGTCACAGTTATTAATTTGGATCAATAAACTGATATACCTGTCTTGGGTATACAAATGTCAGACAACAGCCTTGCTGTTCAGTAGTATACTCACCGTTTTGTGCCTGCACAGTGTTCACCAAGCTTCTTATGATTTTCTCAAACTGTGGGATAACAGATGGGGTGCCGTCCCACAGCTCTGTTCCTTTGAGGGTTGACAGAAGGGACTCTAGTAGCTTTTCAAGTCTGTGAAAACACACAGGTTTAGTGCAATCACAGATGGAACCAAACTGCATTTTGTATTATTGAATAATAATATTAACCAGCTTTCTAACTAACATCCCGTAATTAGCTGTTTGTTTTTTTTCCATTACAAGTGTCAATTAAACGTACTTGTCCCATGTTTCCTTGTCTGCTTTTCCAGTCATCACCTCTTCTAGGACTGGTGCAAGATGAACAAAGCCCTCCAGAGATGGAGCCATTGTATGTAACCCTTGGCCTCCCATGATACGAGGCCAAAGCGTGCTCAAGAGTTTTCCCAGCTGAACACAGAAAAAATGGGGACAAGAAGGGAGGGAAACAGGTCGCATTTTTCACCCACTGTTTTTATGTTATTCAATGCAAAACTTAAATGTGCTCTTTGATCCTTTAAAGGTCATGACAACATTGAGGACACATAACTGATAATTGATATGATCTATCTTTTTGTTCCTGTAGTTTGGAACTAGGTGTTGGCCAATGTTTTCAGTAGATGAAATTGAGATGCCAATCAGCATTTGTTTTATGTAATATGTTATTCAGATAATTCCCAGAACACTTAAATATCAGGAGAAAAAACAGACAGACACAATGAACTGCTCATACAACCATGTGACAGTGTTTTAAGCCTTACCTGACCAAAAATGATGGACACATTTTCTTCTGATGCACTCTCAAAACTTGCCCAGAGACTCATGTTGCCTGAAATCACAAGAAATATCTTTGACAATGTGGACCTACATTTAAATGTCAAATAAGCATATCTTCCATTTAAGACTTGGAGTGAAGCGTCATATTCTTATAACAGACATCAAAACATTGTGCTACTTTAATCCACAGCTCCTAGGCTGTCTGGCTTCAAAGCTTGAATAATGAAGTCCACAATGCGACCTCCACTCCACGAGAGTTCATCAGGATTCAACATTCTGTCCTCCTACAGTGACACAGGGAAGCTGACTTGCCTTGGCCAGACTCCAAGATGAAGTGAGTGATGTTAATGAGGACAGAGATGTAGGGCTGGGCGGTGCAGTTTGGAGGCAGGAGGCTCTGTACTGCTTCCATCTCATCCAGAATCCTGAAGAAACAAAGGGCAACAATATTTCAAAACTGAACATTTTTCACCAAAAGGTCACCATGTCTCATAAACTGTTATCAAAGGATTTCAAGACTGCATGCACTCCATCTTTGTTTGTTTTCAATTATATATCTAGACCGATAGATGTTAGTCATTTTAATATTAATCATCCACTAAGGGAATTTTTCTGACAAGCAAGATGAATCCAATTCATTTTGATTAATCAGGTCTAGTTAGTAAGACAGTTCTAAAAGAACCTTGAATACCAAGCACCAAAACTGTACCTCTTATAATAAAGATAAAGAAATGCTGTCTAAATGTCCTGTTAAACCAAGTATTTTTCCAAAACAAAATTGTAAAATAATTCAACCAACAATAATCAGACTGTTTGGCGACCTCGGAAAAATAAAACCACAACATTGACATATTACTACTTTGATGTTGGAAGCTTGTTAGCGAATACATGCATCCTTGCACATTTGACAGACTAATATTTAGCCAAATTAGTATACCTGTTCAGCGGATGAATGAAAGTCCAATATTCACACTCCTTTTAGCTCTGTTTTTGGTCTCCAAAAACCCCTTGTTGAAATATGTAGTTTTAGTTGATAAATGTTACACTATGTTTAACAGTAGTGGTTACCTTTTTCTGTCAGTCATTTTATACTGGAACAACAAGTATTGTGGAGTGGGTTGCTACAGCAGCTGCGCTTAACATTAACTTAAACTTTAAAGTTATATGTGTTAAATTCACATCCATGAGCTCAAGGAGGATAAAACAGGCTTAAATGCTATATAGGGAAACTGCAGTAAGGTGATAAATATATGCCAGTTACTAACTACTGACTGTTGTCAGTAGTTAGTAACTGGCATATATTTATCACCTTACTGCAGTTTCCCTATATAGCATTTAAGCCTGTTTTATCCTCCTTGAGCTCATGGATGTGAATTNACCTGGAAGGTATTGAATAAATAAACTAATTGTTCCATCTAAAAATATTAATATTAAAATATTTAGAGTGTTAAAATGCAATAAAAAGAGGTGTGTCCTATGCAGCCAGTGTAGTTCTTTGACCCAGCATTTATTTTTGAGTGATTAGGTCACATGACCTGGAAGTTATTGAAGCAATAAGCTAATTTTTCTATCAAAATATTAATATTAATATATTTAGAGTATTAAAATGCAATAAAAATAGGTGTGTCCTATGCAGCCAGTGTAGTTCTTTGACCCAGCATTTATTTTTGAGTGATTAGGTCACATGACCTGGAAGGTATTGAAGAAATAAGCTAATTGTCCCATCAACATATTAATATAAAAATATTTAGAGTGTTAAAATGCAATAAAAAGAGGTGTGTCCTATGCAGCCAGTGTAGTTCTTTGACCCAGCATTTATTTTTGAGTGATTAGGTCACATGACCTGGAAGGTATTGAAGAAATAACTCATTTTTCCATCAAAATATTAATATAAAAATATTTAGAGTGTTAAAATGCAATAAAAAGAGGTGTGTCCTATGCAGCCAGTGTAGTTCTTTGACCCAGCATTTATTTTTGAGTGATTAGGTCACATGACCTGGAAGGTATTGAAGAAATAAGCTAATTGTTCCATCAAAATATTAATATAAAAATATTTAGAGTGTTAAAATGCAATAAAAAGAGGTGTGTCCAATGCAGCCAGTGTAGTTCTTTGATCCAACATTGATTTTGAGTGATTAGGTCACATGACCTGGAAGGTATTGAAGCAATAAGCAGTCGAAATAAGCTAATTTTCCATCAAATTTTAATATAAAATATTTAGAGTGCTAAAGATGCAATAAAAAGAGGTGTGTCCTATGCAGCCAGTGTAGTTCTTTGACCGCGCATTTTTTTGTGATTAGGTCACATGACCTGGGAAGGTATTGAAGCAATAAGCTGATTTTTTCCAATCAAAAAATGTATCTAAAATATTTAGAGTGTTAAATGCAATAAAAAAGAGGTGTGTCCAATGTAGCCAGGTGTAGTCTTTGATCCAACATGGATTTTGAGTTGATTAGGGTACGGAGACCGCTTGGAAGGGTATGTGAAGCCAATAAGGCTAGATCGGGGTCAGTCCAAATTGTAATATGTAAATATATTTAGGGTAAAATGGCATACATAGGGGGGCCTCCTGCAGGCCAGGTTGTAAGTCTTTGGACCAGCATTTATTTTTGAGTTGATTTAGGTACATGACCGAAGTATGAAGAAATAGCTATTGTTCCAGTCAAAATAATTAATATAAAAATATTTAGGAGTGTTAAATGCATAACGAGGTGTGTCCCTATGCAGCAGTGAGTCCTTTTGCCCCAACATTGATTTTGGTATTAGGTCACATGACCTGGATATTGTATTGAAGTATTTGTTCCTCCATTATAAAATATTAGAGATGCTAATGCAATAAAGATATTGTGTTCTATGAGTGAGTTTACAGATTTAATTGATGTGTTGACCTGGTATGAATAAGCTAATTTCCATCGAACATTTTAATATAAAAATTTTTTTTTTCTATATTTATTAGAAGGTGTTTTCGCGCAGTGTAGTTTCTTGTCCAGCTATTTTTTTGTTTTGTTCTATTCTGGAAGATTATTGAAGCAATAAGCTGATTTTTCCATCAGAAATTTTATCTAAAAATGTATTTAAGGTGTTAATATATTGGCAATAATAAAGATGGTGTGCCTATTCAGCAGGTGTAGTCTTTGACCCGCATTCTATTTGTGATTAGGTCATATGACCTGGAAAGTTTTGAGCATAAGCTCATCATTCCATCAAAAAATTGTATTAAAAAAAAACTATTAGTGTTAAAATGCAATAGCAAATAGGTGTCCTATGCAGCCGAGTGTGTCTTTGACCCAGCATTTTATTTATTGAGTGAATAGGTCACGATGACCTGGAAGGGTATGAAGAAATAAACTATTCTTTTTTCTTTTCATTATTATAATTATATTATCTTATTAGTGTTGTGTTTTTTAATTTTTTAATATATTATATTTTGTTCCATGTAGGCTGTTGTATGTTCTTGAACTTGTATCTTTGTGTGTGTGTTCTATCAACTGGAATGTATTGATTATATTATTCTATGTTTATTAAATATTATTATTTATATTAGAGTTATATATTGCCAATAAAATAGTGTGTCTATGCAGCGTGTGAGTTCATTGACCCTAGTATTTATTTGTTGAGTGATTTAGGTCACATGGACCTGGAATATGAAGAATAAGCTAATTGTCCATTCAACATATTAAATAAAGAATATTTAGAGTGGGTTAAATGCAATAAAAAGACGGTGTGTCTATGCGCCACGTTGTACGTTCTTTGACCCAGCTTTATTTTGAGTGATTAGTCATTTGGATATATGTTATTAATAGTATTTTATATTATTTTATAGTATTAATAAAAAATATTCTAGAGTGTTAAAATGCAATAAAATGTTGTGTCTCTTGCAGCCTATTTCTTTGACCATTGTCATTAATTGAGTGATAGTCATTATTTTATTGGTATTAGTTAATGAAGATTTATAATGTTCCATCAACATATTTAATATAAAAATATTTAGAAGTGTTAATTTTGTTCAATAAAAAGAGGTGTGTCCTATGGCTCAGTGTATTCTTTTTGATCCAGCATTATTTTTAGTGATTTAGGTGGTCAGCATGACTGAAGGTTTGAAGAAATAAAACTAATTGTATCCATTCAACATATTAATATAAATTTTATTTTTTTTTTGTTGTTAAATCATAAGTTGTTGTCTGCAGCCAGTGTTTTCTCTTTTTTATTCTTCTATTTTTGATTATTTGAGTGTTTAGGTCACATGA